AATGCATATATAGGTGGATTTCTCTTTATAAATTCTCATAATTATATATATAGTTCAGACTACCTTCATACTTATTCATAGAATAAAAACACAATGTTAATTACTTAACCGAGAATTAGCGATTTTTGCAATGTCTTCAAATTTTCTTAAATTATTCAACAACCAATTAGAAAATTATATCACAATATATTCATTCTAAAGAGAAAAGTCATAGCTTTCTAACGAAGCTTTTTAACAAAGAATGAAAGAAACATTTTTTTATTTCACTGTTTTGTCTGTAATAATTTATATTTAAATTGGTTGTAATTAATGCAAATAGGATTATTTTAGTAATATTTAAATAATTTGTTATTGTTGCTGAAAATAAATCTGCAATGTTGAAAATACGTGTATAAAATTGAGTGAATTGATGATGATTACTTGAATGTCACAAACTATCAAGACGAAGATAAATATTTCAATCCGGTATGGATTGAGTGAGTTGGTAACGTTCAGGGGGTCCTCTTTAAGATTCCATGTGAGTTCGTCGCCGGAATGAAAAAGTAGTTTACTTTGAATCCAGTCGATATATGCAAATGTCGAACGAATATTATTTAGAATACGTGGTTTTATTATAAAAAAAAGAACAAAAGAAATATAAAAGAGTTTATTATTCAAGTAAATTTTAGAAAAATGTAACCGAGGTAGTTAAAATAATAAAGCATATAAAGTGGTTATCATTCAGTTTGGATAGAATTATTAGGGTACATGAGATTTTCAGCGACATCTTGTTTACTATATTCGAACTAATAATTTCCATTATGTAATAGCACAAACTACTTATTATAGATAGTTTTAATAATATTTACCAAAGAAATCTGTAATTTCTTACTTGCAATTTATTTTATCGTCGTTTTTATTCACTACTGTTCTATAATAAAAACATTCAGTAAATGATCTGGCGGTTGACAAGATTTTAATTGGACATCGCCCATTGGCGATTATCCTTTACTTATTGGTTATTTGTTGAATCTCAAGGGTAGATCCAGTCGTTTGGTGTCTCTTCAGTCGCTGTGTTGTTAGGCTATTGTCCAGAAGATTGGCAGCTAGTACGTTTGGATGTCTATCTAGTCCATTTTGGTATTGGCTACTGTTTTTCGTAATTGTTTCCTCTACTGTTTCCATTTGAAGGTCCTCATGCATTCTCCTGTTCGTAATATACCATGGAGCACCAATAATCTTTCTTAGGCTCTTCGACGGGAATCTTTGTATGGTCTCAATATTAGATCTGCTGGTGATTCCCCATAGCTGTATTCCATATGTCCAGACAGGTTTTAAAATTATTTTATAGATCAGCATATTGTTTTCTTTCGAAATTGGCGAGTCTTCCCGTAATAGCCAGTAAAGTTTCCTGAACTTAATTCTCTTTTTGCTTAGAGCTGATTCTTCCAGATCAATCTTCTATCCAGAGCAGGAGTCCTTTCCTAAGAGAATATAGATAAGTTTTTTAGAAATATCTAAATTATAAATAAGATATTACGTAACTTTCGTACAAACTATTATAATATTGAAAACTATATATAATTATACATCTCATAGTTTCTGTTCATAGATCATTGAATATGCATATTCTATGAATGTAATATATGTACACAAATTGATAAGATTTAAGTATATGTTAATGTTTTTTTTAACAGTAAAAGTCTAAAACATATTTACCACTGCATAATTTATGTTTTCAAGACAATAGTATTTTTTTTTTGGTTCAAATCAAAGGAATAAAATACAAGCTATAAAATATATCCATGACATACAGTAATTCCTTTACGATTTAAACGATGTTTAAGTTTCTTCAATTTCCATCACATCATTTTGAATATAAACCTCTTTTTATGATGTTCTTCCTTAACTTCTAAATCAACTGCAACTTCTTCAGCAAATTAATGTTTTTATAAAATAATTAAAAATATGCGTTTATTTATCTACACAATTTCATTTTTTTTTCAACTTTGAACGCGAATTACAGCCAAATAGATAAAACCACATCAATGTATGAATTCTCGTTACATTCCAAAACATCCTCTTTTCAAATGCTTCTTTTAGGTTAATTCAAGAAAAACGTTATGCAATTTTCGAGATACGAACATGATGTTATTTATCTCCAGCAGTTCTAGAGCAATTCACTAAAAACTGAAGACATGAAAAATCGTTGTTTCTCAGCTACGTAATGAACATTACGGAACAAAAAAAAGCAAGAAAATGATGTAACTTTCGAGAAATTAATAAGATTATGGAATTATCTTCAGATCAATCTTCTATCCAGAGCAGGAGTCCTTTCCTAAGAGAATATAGATTTGTTCTTTAGAAATATGTAAATTATTTAAAAGATATTACGTAACTTTCTTACAAACTATTATAATATTGAAAACTATATATAGTTAACATTTACAATTCTTCTAATAAACTATTCATCTCATAGTTTCTGTTCATAGATCATTGAATATGAATGTAATATATGTACACAAATTTACGATTTTAAAAAAATGATAAGATTTAAGTATATATTAACGTTTTTAACAGTAAAAGTCTGCAACATATTGAACACTGAATAATTTATGTTTTCAAGACTATAAGCTATAAAATATATCCATGACACAGTAATTCCTTTACGATTTAAACGATGTATAAGTTTCTTCAATTTTGAATATAAACGTCTTTTTATGATCTGTTCTAAATCAACTACAACTTCTTCAGAAAATCATTGTTTTTATTAAATAATTAAAAATGTGCGTTTATTTCTTTACACAAATTTATTATTCAAAGTATACAAACTTACTTCTACAATTAACGCAAATGAGAATATTATTATCTTTTAATCCTAGATTTCAACTAAAAAATCAATAGAATAAGAGTTAAAACATTATTTAGGTAAAATATTACAAAATAATAATTGATTATTATAAAAATTAATTCAATAATGTATTGAATATTATAAACAATTTATTAGTTTTATCACCAAAAAAATACATTTAACGTATTTTAATACAATTAAATTCAATATTAATTGTTGATACACAATTTACTTGGTTTTGTAGACCAAAAAACTACAGATTATTAAATGCGTTTTGATCTGCTTAATATTTGATAAATATTTTTTGTCTGGATATAATTGGGAAAATAAAAGAAAACAACAGAAATCAATTGAATAATGGTACATTTTATTAGAGAATAATCGAAACTACATAATAGAACTATCTTTTTTCATCATCATAATCATCATCCCCATCATCTCTTCATGTTAATTTCGGCTATACTAAATTATATGAAATCAATTTAGGAATATCATCATCATCATCTGTTCACTTTTCACCTTTCATATATTTTGTTTAATCATTTATATACCCTTTTATTAATCATAATAATAATAATCATAACCTTATTTACTCCTCTCTTTCATTAATTATAATTAGTAGAGATTGTACATATACCAAAAAAAATGAAGCAATCACTCGTCAATACATAACATTTCATATCATTATTACTCATTATTTCATGTGTGTTTTCATTATTAAACATTATCATTAACATCATTTTCTGTTTAATTTCGCTGATATCATTTATTTATTTATATTTTTTTTACTTTTTAGAAATCACCTTCTAAAAAATTTATCACTTAATATCAATTGTATATAAACAACACACCTTCTTTATTCGCGCTTCTCCGTTACACAACAAAATTTCAAATTAAAAAAAAACACATATTTTCTCACGAACCAAAAAAGGTTTAAGGCTACAAATTATGTTTGCATTATTTATTTATTTTTTTTATATATTTATAATATAAGGTGGAAAGGAAAGAAGAAAAAAGAATGAGGTAAGTACGCAATATCAAATGGAATGTTAAACTGAAAATTCTCATTAATATCACTACATTTAAATTCATATTTTTTGAAGCATTTTGTTTCATTATCCAATATATATAATATATTATTATATTTTTTTTTTCATTATGATTTTTTCTCATATATAGATTTATTTATTTCTCATTTTAACTGTTTAATAATATCATTCATAATCACTCTGCGTGAGTTATTTTTGTTTTATTCACTCTGTCTGTTTATTTTTTGTTTAATTAATTTAAGTCTTCGTTAAAATCATTTTACAAAGTTCCTAGAAACGAAGATTATAAACGAATTTAGCTAATTTGAACATAGTCTCAACAACAACTTTATTTATTTATTTATTTTTTTAGTTTCAAGCGAAAAAAGTAAGTGAAGAGCAAAAGTCCTCTTTAGTGGTAACTCTCTTTCAATTTGCGTTTCTTTTTATATGTAGAAGTTTTTTTTAATTTATTTATCAATTAATTCATTTAATTAAAGTGAACGAACTGATATGTTTACTGCGTCAAATGAAATAACAAATTGGCGAAATTTTTTTTTTGTTAATTTTTATGTTTTTTTTTTTTGGTGTTGGGGAGCACTAAAACTGTTTCTCTGTCTCTGGCAGGATTCGTAATTCGTTGCATGTTCATCATCGGATATTATGACAATATTTTTAGTATTGTTGCGTCAACTTCTCGGCTTTGGAAGAGCGAAGAAACTGCGCCCTTGGAGTAATCGAAGTAATAATGAGATTTGAAATTGAAAGAATACGCGCTGAACGTGTCAGTAACAACACAACAGGATCGGATCGAGAAGGCTCACGAACAACGAATCCGCACCATCGTCCCTACTAAATATTATGGCACCAAGCTTCATCCTGGATAAATCTCAACGCCTCATTAAAATCACATTATATAATAATTACTAATACTTGATGTATTGCTATGAGATATTATTCTTTGTATATTTCTTCCTTGAAGCGAACACTTAAACGTTACATAGGGTCTTCTATCTTGCCTATTCCTCTGCATCCTCGTCTTTGATCAATTTGTTGATTGTAGGGGGGGCGGGAATTTGATTTGATTCGAAATTTATTGTGACTCGAAACTAATAAACAACAAAAAAAAATAATCGTTTGAACGTCTTTGATCAAGGAATGTGTAGAGTGTGTAAATGGAAACAGAACAACGAGGAAAGAACGAAATGGAATGTAGTTAGTGTAGTTGGGTAATTCTACTACAAGTAGAAAGGGGGATATAAGAATTTGATCTAAGTGGGATCATAAAAGTCCGGATTGAACTATCTACATAAATGGTTTTGTTAACAATTACACATAGAATGGCAAAGGTTTGTTATTTTTTTTTGCTTAAAATTAACTTAGGTTTTCCTCCTCGCAACTTCATCTTCTACAAATCGGGTTTCGCTTTTCACTTTATATCTTTTGGGTTCATAACATGATTTAGAAAATGTGTATTTTTCACCTACAAAATCAATAGATATATATATATGTAAATATTAACAATTACCTATGTAAATAGATTATTCTGTTTCTCATTATAATTATTAGTTATTTCTTTATGCTTTTTTTTTCTTTCTTTCTTCATCTCTTTGCGATTAAAGTGAGAATATAATGTAATAGAATATATATAATATATATATGCAATGTATGTATGTATAAATATCAGAATTTGATGTCCCTAGAAGTGCTGCAGCGAGCCGAAATCAACGGATTCCCGTTGTCAGTACACCCACGAAACTGGGATCCATTGAGGCGTTGTCTGCACCTTCTCGATCGCCGCCTCCAGGTTTCCAATCGTGTCATCTATATCATTGTTTACTATAGTCAAGTCAAAGTAGTGGCCGTAGGCTGTCCTCAGCATATCCGATTCCTTAGCTAATCGCTCCAAACTTCCGTCGTACTGCAAATCAGAATCAACAAATTAGTATCCTCGAAGCTTTGATTAAACCATGATTGATGATGTTGAACTCACATCGGCGATGTTCTGCAGTGCCGGCGCAGCGATGAACACAACGTACGGTGAGAATTCGGCCGTCCTCAGGATTTTCAGGGCCTGCGGTTCCACATCCAATATTGCCATCTTCCCGTCTTGGTGGATCTTACGTATAGTCTCCAGCTTTGTTCCATACATGGCATCTTCATGAGTACCTTAAAATTCATTCAATTGAATCATAAACACCAATTTCATACACAGAAAATTCAATTCATTCGATACAAATGTTATATAAATATAAAAAAATCAAGTTCCTAAAACATGTAATTATTATATGAGTTAATTATTTATTTTGGAATGAGCGTAATGTTTAAGTTAATCTCTTTAAGGGTCGGGATTTTGTTGAGGGGTTGAAAGGTCATTAATACCGCTTCACTCACCGTACTCCAAATACTCATTAGCCGCAATGTCGGCCATCATCTCGTCGTGGGATACGAAGAAGTAGTTCCTGCCATTCTCCTCGTCCGCCCTCGGAGGTCTCGTTGTATCTGGAAAGCCGTAAATAAAGCAAACAACACTTAATACACCTGATCTCGAGAGAAGCACGTGTAGCGAGCGAGTGAGTTACGAGACTTACGTGGAATGGGATAAGCGTATTGGTCTGGATGCTTGGCTATGAGGGTGTTCTTTATGTGTCTCCTTCCAACGCCATGGGCCCCCAGCAGCACGAGCGTCTTCCTCTGGAATGCCGGATCTGTCACTAAAACTACATTAGCACAAAACTCTCCGGACAACTACAAGACGCGTCGACAAACTCACTTGGTAACTTTACAACTTCCTCGTAAGTAACTAAATCTAATTGGTCAAAAACTGCGTTGTGTTTAGCCAAGTATTTATCCTTATATTGTTTCTTCTTGCGACCGAAGATTGAGCAATTGACTAGAAAACAGAAAACAAAAAACATATATCAACAACGCAACATAAAAGAAACCAAAAACAATCATCAATTTGATCGTCGATCGATTCGTTAAAGCTGAATTCAATGGCAGAGTTCTAATGTAATTCGTTAAATTCTCAGATTCTAATGTAACTCTACGAGTGTGTTTAAAGCCTTTCATCTATAAGAATTCTGTAAGCGAAGTCTTGTAAAAAAAAGTGAAATTAACAAAAACAAACAAATTATGTTAAAGCTCTCGATACTGCACGGATTTATCTTATTGTTCCATGCAGCTTGAAGAGGCTCTTCATGAATAATCCTAGATATGTTCGAAAAAGAAAGAAATTTCATAAGTGCTTTTCATGCGTTCTTAATTAGATGAAAAAGTAGATTTGAAGAAAAAAAAAATAACTGCTTTCGATACCAATCGTCACAACTAATTTGAAAGGTACCCTTTCTCCAGCAGATCACAAAAAGCATTAGGCTAAGTAACAAGAAATACGACTAGTTAAAAGTATTTAAGTAAAAAATAAATAAATAAATAAGAGTAGTTGTCTGGTTCTACCACGTGAGACTACAAATATTATCTTCGGTTTTCTGGACTGTGTACGTGTGTGTTTATATATATAATATAAGAATAAAGGGGGGATATTCTGAGGATGCACATGCTTGTTAATTCATCTCCATCATTCTTCCAATGTCAATGGTCTCGTACAAAGCCAATGTTTACTTGAGTAATTTGTGTAATACCTGTAGAACCATCACAACCATTCGCATGAGAAGTGCATCCCTTTTCCACGTCTGGCATTTCAGAACAACAGAAACACAACAGTCACACCGTTGGATCACAACCATAGTTAGGCTAAAGGTAAGTTTAACCAAAAAGAAAACTCAAACGATTCCAATCAATCAAACAAACAAAAACACAAACTAAGTGCAATGGATCAAAAAACAAAAAACACATAAGGAATCACATGATGCATTTTTTTTTCAGGGCATGCTCACACATAAATACCGATGTGGATGTGTCTCATATTGTGGTGATTTGTTTTCTGCACGTGTTTCTGGTATGAGTGGATGTTTTTGAATGCGTTTGCACTCTGCATTTAAATTCGTCGTTAATTTCGAAAAAAGCGAAACTAGTACGTGAGGTGTACATGTATGTAGTTGACTATTTTAACCAAAAAAAAAACAACAAACAAAAAAATTGTTATGAGAGAACTGGATTCGTAAAATTCGACTTTTTCAGAATGTTTCAACTAGGATACCCAAATTTACCATGATTTTTGTTTACCTGTAAATAGTTTTAGTAAACAAAAATCAAAGAGATTCCTTCCTAAATTCATTTTTTGAAGAACGACGAAATATTTTTCCAATTTCAATTTCTGAGTCGAAAAATTGTTGAAATTACCGGTATTTCTTGTCAAAATGTAACGGTAATTTAGGTAATCATATTCGTAGTGGAAGTCCTAGTTTCAACGTAAAGCGAAAATGAGTCGAAATGAAGTATACAGCAGACACAAGAGGAGATGAAACAAGTAAATTATAGAATAAAAAATATACGAACACAGAATGAAAAAAAACGAACATACAGACACACATAGCTACGGTTCTAATATTGGGGATGTGTGTACAACTCATATCTTTTATGAACTGCTGGAAAGAAGTCATTTGAATAATACAATTCGCACGTGCGTTCATTTCAAGTTTTCTCCTCTCTCTCTTGGTAATATATATTTGCATTTTTTTTTTGGCGCAGAGAGGTATGTAAATTATATTTTTTTCTTAGGGATCTCACCTTGTTCCTGTTTAGTTTTTTCCATGGCGGCACAGGCGGCCCGCCATTCCTGCAGCTCAGGAGATGGTATAAGACCGGCGGATCCAGCGGAGTTATCCTTCCGAGCCTGCCACCAGTGATGATCATCTTTACTGATAATCTATAGAATAGTACAAAAGGATTAAAGGTTGCTCGTGTTAAATAGTAAAGCACAAAAGGATGAATGAGATATTACCTGAAGGATATCGCCGGTTTTGAATCCGATTCCGGCTTGTGCGCAAGGAATCAGCTCGTCCTCCAGTGGATCGTAATCGAATTGCGCCCTCACGAAGATCTGCACGAAACAAGCGAATCTATTAGTTTTGGTCTATTAAATACTGACGTTATTTTATTTGGAAAACCAATTTTCGTAGCCTGAATTGCACGTCGGTTTGTTTTTTTTCTTGTTTTTTCACCGATTAATCCACTAAACTAAGCACATCACACCAGAACCAGATATGTTTTTGTACTTACTAAGACTGGTAGAGGCTTAATCCGGAATAGCTAGAAACCAAGAGCGCGCATCAGGAGGGTAGCGGAGGAATCAGAAAATCAAATAAATTAGTCAATCAAACAAAACATCATCATCATCATCACAATTATTGCAACATCTCGATAGAAATTTGAGAACGCGAATATTCATGTCTGAATGAAAGATTTATTAATAAAATTAAAAACGTCGCCAGTGGAACAGAAGGAAATAATAAAATATCTCAGTGAAAATGTGCAACAAAACAGCCAATAGATCGATAAATTTTGGTTCCGGAAAAAAGGAGATTCGGAATCCCACCCAGACATGAATTGAATTGTCAATTTAGAGAGCCAGTCAATCGGTTTTTTTTTTATTTTTTTGAATCGTATCTGGTTTATGATGAGATGTGCTTGGGTATCGACATTAGGAGGGAAAAGTTCTCCCTCGTGGGAAGGATTTGTAGTACGAAGCATGTGCGGAATCGAATTGAAATCGTAGAGAATAAATAAAATCAAAATAAAATAAAATAACGAATTTCGAAACACATTGGCTGTTTGTCAATGTTCCTTATATTCCACTCGCTTCAAACGGAACTACTACGGCAACGGCAAAGAACGAATCGATACAAAGAGAAATCAACACACGTATACACGTGGTTTTCTCTATTGTTGTTGAGCCTTTTATGTTGGTCTCTCTTGCAGTTCGCTTGACTCACCTCGCAAGGCGGCGGAGCGCTTCTGTACGAAGGTACTATTTTGAAGGTAACTGAGCCTCTGGCCTCTCTCTGCAAAAAAACAAACAAATATAACATATTAGTTTAACTTCACTTCAAAGAACACATATTCATGAAATTGTCCACAAAAACAAAAAAAATCCAAGTACATTTTTCTATAACAAGACCATAAAGCTTTGATTAAATATATTTCAAAAGCACATTAAACAAACATTTTTATTAAACTTAAGTTTTTTTTTAGAATAAATAAACTATATTTGTACACATTTAGTATTAAGAAAAAATTTTGCAAAATTAATTTCAAGTTTATAAAAAAAAATGTTAAATATTAATTTGTTGAAAACAGTAAATATTAATAATTATAATATGGAAATGGAAACGAAATAATACTTATAAGATAGTTTATTATTAGTAAGCATTTAATTTCAATCTTAATAATGAATATTTTAAACTGTTCAAAATATTAAAGTAAGTCTATATGAAAATTAGATCTGACAATATTAAATTAAGAAGTGAATATAAAATTTTCTGATTTTCATGTAATTAGCTAACAAATTTACATTTTTATTTGATCATGAAAATTGACAAAAAAATAGTGTCTGATTTTATTTAAAATTTCAATTTCATATTTCAAAATAAAATAATAAAGAAAAAATTTTAACATCAAATTCTCAAATTATGTGGAAAGATCTATGATTTATAGTCTTTTGCAATATTTTTTTAATAATTAGTTGCAATAAAAGTAACTTTTACTGAAAAACTTAAAATTTGAAACATGAAATTTATTCAAAACTGTCTTCGTTCATTAGCGAAACAACATCTTACGCTATTAGAAACATCCCATCGTGGAAAGCTTAGAACACAACGAAGGTTTACATAATCAATACCAGTCGTAACTTCGTACCATCTTTTTGCACCCGAGTGCTGTTCGCTAACTTGTTTATTAGTTGTAGGTGGAACTGAGAGCAGCTTGAAACGTAATCGACACGAACGAATTAATGTTACGCAATAAATTCCCGTATCGTTTCTCCTCCACTAACAAATTGAATTACATTGCAACAGCATTAATCGTTGTTTATTTTATTTATATATAATGAAGCTGCGAGTTCAATTGATTAATAGGCGAAAACGTTCACTGCTGGTTCACCCCAAAATTAGCATTTATTCCCAGTTTCATCCCCTTCCCACCCAGATTAATTCTAGCAAAAATAAAAGGGGAGAGAAAGAGCAGTTAACGAAATGGCAACTTCCTGCTCTGCATTTTCTAGTAGTTTCCAACGGTGAGCAGATGTCGCGCCAAAGTGAAACTTTTCGCAAAAACCGGAAGTTCTAATACAATTTCGAGGCGTTTAGAATTACGTCGGACCTCTTCTCTCCAGAACTGTCGTTGTTCCATTATTTTTTTCTATTCATTCGCATTCGTTTGATGGTGAATTCTCCCGATGAGTTATACGAGTTTAAAAGTGCTTTGGAACTTCGAAGGAGGAGACATCCCTTGGAGTTTACAGCATAAAAATTGCATATCTGACGTCCGCAGAACGATGAATCTTTTGGTTACCTTTTTCTTTGCTGCTTTATTCTTAAACGTGATATTAATTTCAAAACTTCAATAGAACTTTGGAATATATTGATACTTATTAACATATCAATCTATAAATCACAATTAATATGGATTAAATGTTCTGAAAATTTGTCAATTTTGCTTAATTCTTAAAAGTTAATTTCAAAGTTTCATATATTGAAGTACTATATTGAAATCCATTATCAAATTAGTCTATAAATCACAATTAATACGAATTAATTCCTGATCATTTGAAATGTACTAAAAATTCGTCTTTTCCATCAATTATGCTTAATTCTTAAATTTTAATTTCAAAACTTCAATGGAACTTTGAATTATATTCATACACATTATCAAATAAATCTATAAATTACAATTAATATCGATTAACCCTGAAAATTTTAAATCTTTTGAAAATATAACGTGCCTTCAATTTGAAAGCTTTAATGCAAATTTGTAATACATTCAAATCCATTATCAAATCAATCTATAAAACACAATTAATATGGATTAAATCCTGAAAATTTTAGATGTCGTTGTCTTTTCTTTAACTTTGCTTAATCATGAAATTGTAATTGAAATTTCATTGAAGATAAATAAAATTTTGGAAATTGAAAGTGAGTTTAAAAATTTATCAAAACAACTTTCGTTCTTAATGATGTACTTAGATTGAATATGTTTTGTAACATAATCTGAACATGTGTCTTTCTGAAGTTTGAGTAGTGTTTTGGGGAAACTTACGAGGATCTTCTGAAGGGTGTTAACGGATTGATTCATGACTGGAATGCCATTAATTTCCCTAATTTCGTCGCCGACGTGGAGCGTGGCCTGCCGATGGATCATCCCGCCGTGCATTATCCTCGCTACGATGCATTTACCATCCTCGTTCATCTTCAGCGTAATCCCCTGAAAAAATCGAAATCAGCATTAATAAAACGATATTCAAAGATGTTCTCTCTCTCTTTCTTACCATAGGTTCATCAGTATTCTTCTGGAATTGCACTAGCCTGACCCGGGTCACGTTTTCCATTTCAACATCACCATTGGGTCCATCGAGGTCGTCACCACCGTTGAGGTATGGTAGAAGAGGAGGCGGCGTGACCCGCATCGCATCCTCTCCATAGATCTCATGGGCCACAACATCGTGGGCTTGAAGCAAAGCCTAAGAACAAATACATCATAATTATTATAATTTCATTATTACACTGAAATTATTTTAAAGAAACAAATAAAATATTTAATAGAAATGTAATCAATTTCGACAGTTTTGATAATATTTTTTAATAGAAATTAATTAGTGTAATTACACACTAATAATTAATCTAATTTTGAAAACATTCAAATTCTATTTACACTAGAAATACTGAATTTGCGAAGTTTAAACGAAGCTTCGAAATCCGTAATTAAATTAAAACCGTTTGCGCTGATTGCAATCCGTACAATTGATTCACCCTAATTGTTGTTTTTATTTCGCATTGTTTCCCCGCGTTCGCATTTTCATCAACATGCAAATTTTTCGCAGGAATATAATGAAATACAAAAAAAAAACTAATAACAAAAGTAATTTATATTTATATATACTTTCATATCAATCGAATAGACTTGGAAAATATATAAAAAAAAACAAGCAAAACAGAAACGTATATTGGATTTAGTTGTACGCATTTTTTTGTGTGTTTCAAATACAATTACACAAGTGGAAACGAGATGCCTTTTGTATAAATACATTTTGTATAAAATCGAATCCGCCGAGGTTTGATTCCGACGAATCCAATTAAATTTAACACGATCATCATCAGAAGTGCAATAAATATTGATACACGTCAATGAATTTGTACAAATACGTATTATTACAATGTATGCTTAGTTTTATCTGATGTAATTTTATTGCTGCTATTTTAATTGAAACAACATATAAATATTGGATTATGAATATTGTTTATTAAATTGAAAATACTAAATAGACTTGTATGTAATAAATAATAGAAATATAATAAATGTATGATGTAGTTAATTTTTAGTAACTAAAAACATACTGACTTTTAAAATCTATCCACAAAGTAATTATATAATATAGTACTTTATGTGGATAAAATAATTTCCTTTTTCTTGACAAATATTTGGACTAAAATAAAATTAATTATCTTATTGACGAAATATTTCAATAATTAAGCTAAAAAAATCTAAGTCAAATATTTAAATTGTCTCTTTTTTTCTATTTTTATTAAAGAACTACATTCTACATATACTAATTGAAATATTAAATGTTGTTTATAAAACTGACTGCATAGTTTCTTTACAATATTTTTGATTTAAGAACTAAACTCGAAATATTTCTTCTTTTTTAATTAAAACATAATTCACTCATTGAGGAAATAATGGAAAATTGTAATTTCCTTCTTAAACTGTTGTTAATTAAATAATTTAAGTGTTTCTATCATTATTGCATTGATGAAATATTTCAATAATTAAACAGAAAACTCTGTCACAAAAAAGTATACATTTGATAGAAAATCTTAGATTATCTAGAGTTTCGAAAACAACTGTCAATATTCATTATATTGGTATTGCTTACATTAATAACTAAATTACATAACATCGTTGCTTTTGATTTAAGTTGGAATTTGTAGACCAAAAATTAGTTTTTTTTTTAAGAAAATTATTATAAGTCACCTCTGTAATTTCAAAATGGAAAATTTTAACCCATATAACATGAATTTACAAAGAAGAGATGCACAATCCAAGCAATTGACTAATAAACAATGTCATGGTATATGGCAACAGCTATTACAGTGTATGAAGAACAAAGAAAAATTAGAACACGGTTCTACTGATGGTAGAATTATCACAGTTGATGAATTGATTGAATGTGTTCAAGATGCATTTAATAAATTTTAGAGAAATACTCTTGATAACGTTTTTATAACATTACAAACGTGTATGGAATCAATTGTGTTAACAGGAGGAGGAAACTCCAATAAATTTTCTCATATAACAATGTTTTCATTGAACATCCTATCAAAATAAATCAATTACAAATATTCTAACTGAAGTATTATACTTATTTACTTTTTCCTATAAATAAAATGTTTTGAAAATGTTTCAATAATACAATAATGGAAATACCTTTATAATTAAAATATTTATATTGTATTATTAAACAGTTTGTATTTTTTCTATAAAAGTGTTCTGATTATAAACCCAATAATTTTCAATTATTTCATTGACGAAAAATTACAAAAAACTACTGACATTTTTTTAATAAATAACATTTTTGTTCATACTTTTGTTCAAATGTTTTGATTCAAGACCTGAAGTTTATTGAACATTATCTCATTGACAAAATTACAACAATTCATCTAAAAATACAAACGTATTGTGTAATTGTCTTTTTTTCTTAATTACAAAAATTTTATAAATTTGAATGAATGGTAATAATTTATGTTAATGGGAAATTTGAAAATTTCAACTAGAAATTAACTAATTGGAATATTGTAATTTTAGGAAATAATTAATGATAATGTAGCGTGAAATATGAAATATCCATTAATTAATATAATTATACAATAATCAAATATCTCGTAAATCAATAATGAAGCGTTCTAACAATTCCGCAGTAGCAGACGTAAAAAAAGGTACACGGCAAAACTAATAGGTTCATTAAAACTAATTGATAACATCATTAAGTAAAGCTGGAAAACAAGCGCGGTTTTAGCGTCCATAAAAGAAGCACGCGCTCGTAAAACCATACAGACAATGAGATAGAAATACGAAAAAAAAAGAGCTTAAATTGCAAAAAGAACTAAAATTAATCCAATAAATAACAGTTACTTTGTATAGATTTAACAAGGAGAGAAAAAGAGGTTCGGGTTGTAAAACGGCAACAATTGCCTAACAACGTTTAAAATCTAAATTGCTCTTTCGGACCGTTTAATACTTGAACCACGTGAGACCATAAACTATGAAACAGTGCGAATAATTCAGAGAAAAAAAACAGAATCATAAGGAAATTACTCAAATATTTTATTGGGAAAATTAGGAAAATGCAATTGCGGGCAAGAAACCGCCGGACAAATTCAATTATTTTAATTAAAATCCGCAGGTATTTTAACGTCCTCATCCCCGGAGTTCGTCCTCGGGATTTATTAAAGTTTCCTCCGAGCAACTTCTGCTCGGGGATATAACCCAATTATGATTTACACTCCGGGAAATTGTTTTTCCGGAGGAAACTAGAAAGGAGGTGAACGGAGGAGTGTTAGCTAAAAATATATATATATATAGAGGAAAATAAAATAAAGAAACATTGGAAAGGTTATGTCGGACGGTTCAGGATTAATGCAAAGATATCGGTTTATCTGTCGGTTTAAAGTTTTACAGGATCTCGTTAAATTCGAATTCGTTCGCGCTGGATAGCGGTTTCGATGCTGATCCTGCAATTATCCTTGAAATATTCTCAGGTTTCAGGTGATGTAATCTGTAAATCCGGGACGAGTTCGATAAACTTAAAACTAAGCATATCTTTATTCTAGACAGCAATTACGTAAGAATGTTTAGGTAGTAACAGTATACTTACATCAGTTTAACGATAATACTAATGTCTGTTTTCAAACAGTTCAAACTTGTACATAAAAGGAAATAGTTTCTGATCATTACAAATCTGATTTAAACTAAAGTATATCATCATGACATTAAGAAAAAGGACAATTTTTTTAAATAATTACTAGCAAATAAATTTCTGAAAATTTTTGGAATTAACCATAAATTTTAAATTTTTAAATTAAATGTTATCATATTTATGATTAAATATTTCATTAATTCATAAGAATCTATAAATTTCTTTTGATATTTTATTGACAAACTTGACATAATTTTGTATATATATAAAAAACAAAAAATCAAAAACTGCAATATTTCAAGCGGACTAAAATGTGTCCCATATTGCTATTCCGGTTCCAAAAAATGATTATTAATCTGGAAACGGGCCAAAAAACAAAAAAAAAACGAGTTTAATATCGTAACCCTCCGGCGCTGCGTCGAATCCACGCCATTATTTATATCCATTCAACGATAAACTTAATTTTAATTAATCTCAATATTTCTTCTCGTTGTTTTCGTCATTCATTTAAGCCAACTAAGAATTAATTAAAATTTTCTTTTTCGGTTTTGTACTTTCATTGTTTTCTCAATGAAAAAGCTTAATGAAGATACGAAGTTGAATGATTTAATTAAATGTAGGTAATTTACTGGAAACAGACAAAAGTCGTTTGAAAATTTTATTTGAAGATTAAATTAAATATTATTATAATTTTTATTAAAGAGTGTTCAAATAACGAATCCATTAATGAATGTATTGTTCCAACTCAAATGTTAGTAATGATAATCAAGTTTTTTGAGTATTCATGATTTTTATGTATATTTTTGTTTTCAAATTTTGTCTTTATAAAATGTCACATATTTTTTGATTGTATAATAAAATTTCTTTAATCATCTATATTGATTATATTTAATACAAATTTAACATACTGAATTTAAATAAAATATCTCATAAGAACTCTGTGATTGCAAGAAATACTTGCAATAAAAAAATATATATCATTTTCAGAATTTTACTTTGATGTTGTTGAATGAGTTTCATGCCCCAATTCTATCCACTTTCAAACAGTGTCGAATCCATCATATCTGGAAGGACGAGGGTTGGTAGCTCTGCTAACTTATCCCTGAAGAAGTCCATAAAAGAGAGGCGCGGAGGATGAAGTAATGGAATTCAAGTATAAATTCACATTACTATTATCATCGTCGCGGGGCCAAAGAGTTATCCAACTGTTTGTGACAATGGCCATAATAACTCGCAAGCCGCGACTCTCCCCCCCTATCTGCCACACGAGTTATTGTTGAGGATTTTCCTGCAGTCCGCCAAAGTTACATAATACCTGGGCTTTGCGTTTTATCCTCCAAACGCGGATGAACAGTGATTTACAGGCTGGAAGGGTCAACCCAGGGCGAGTTAAGCACTTAGTCTATCTTTAGATATGCATGACAGTATTAGATAATACTTCCGTTTTTTTTTATTAATGAATAGATGAAAAACATAATATTTATATCACACTACTTAATTATGTAAGATTTATAATCTGCAGTTTTATTACTTTATTACGTAAAGTAAGTCAATATATATTTAACAAGTAAGTACTACCGATAGATCAGAATGACCCACCTGACATTTATTTTTATTCGCATTCTATTGTAATTTATTTGTGGTGGTTGACATAACAAAAACTGTGTTTGTTGTAAAAATGAAAAATTTGTCCAATTTTTGTAATATTTAATAAACGGGTCATTTTGACCCATGTATAGTACTTGTGTTTTCTTTATTTAGTTATAGGTTAAGTTTAAATTGTTTTCCTTGTACACATTCAATTAAATTTACAAATAATATTACAATTTATATAACTTTATGTCTGAGTTAATACTAATTTTATAAAAGCAATTCATTATAATTATTCGCATCACACAGAATGCTTCATAATTTTGATTAATACCAATAAAAAAGCTAAATTAAATTAATTACATTTAAGGACATTGAAACAAAATTTCCAAACTTTATGTAACTATGAAATAAAACTAAATTATATAATTTAATAATTCGCCTTATATAAATAGGAAAGTAGTGTACTTTTACAAAACTCAATTTTTATGAAATATAGTTTGTATCTTCTTTTAAATTAATGAAGTATTTCTGATATTTTTAATTATTTTTCAAAATATTAAAAAAAAAACTATTATCAATTATTTTTTCTTTCAAATTATGAAATAGATTATAAAATATTTGTATTTGATCAAAATTTGTAAATAAATAAATTATAAAATAATGTTTCATGAATTACTGCTTGAATTCAAGTACATTTTTAGGAAAGGTTTTTTTATCAAGATTTTGTATGAAAAATCATCAATAATTCGCTTTCTTTGAAACAAATATGAGTTTTTTTCAATAAGTCTTTGGTTAAATACAAATTATTAAACATTTTATTGTTAATTTATGGATTATATATGAAGAGATAAAAATAGTTTTAAAAAATCAATAAAATCATATTATTTTTGTAAGTAAATAACGTAATTTGTGGGTATATTACTACAAAAGTTTAAAAACTATACGTATATGTTATGATGATTTATTCGTTTAGGTATAAACGTATATCATGTTTGGATAAAATAATGACTTTATAAAATTTACGACCAATTTTCTGTCTCGTATTGATTCTTATCCACCTAAAATTTCGTTGCATTTATTGAATCTCTGTGATACTCGAACTATGGTCATTTATCTCGTGATTTCGACTATGTAAAATCAATACTATGAAAGGATCATATATGAATATACAAGACCTAACGATCCGAGTTGGTTTCTATACTTCGCGAAGAAGTATACCAAGCAATCAGAGTTGTGTCAGGAAAAGAAATGATATACCTGGGGAACGTGGCGAATTTATAAACCGTGTGCGGCGCAGCATGAAAATGAGGAAAAACTTCTTTCTGGCTTAAATCAACTAAGAAATTGGTGCCACAACCCCTCGCCGTCCGGATTCCGTCCACGTCCCCTGCAGCGCAAAGTCAATTATCGTCTGCAAAAGTGAACTTACGTAGCAGAGCATGTCTTGCGTAATGCGGTGTGCCGGAGCTCCTAGGAGGCCTCTTCATGGCCCGCGATCATCATTCCGGAAACTATTATGGCTTTCGCACGTGGCGACCAAAAATGGAAAAATCCTCTTTAAACGGAAAGGATCATCATCTCGATACGCTTCATCCCTCAGATAAGCTGGATGCATGTCGTATACGACTAAGTTCGATCCTCATTAGGGCACTTTTCCAAAATCCCCAAACACTTTCACTTCCAACACTTCGATACTTCAAGTATAGCACAAATTTTAATCCACTCAATCCAGTTTTAAATCATCCAATCTTAATCAAATCCTCAAAAAATATTGTTATTAAACGCAACTTTCCCAAAACTCTCATTAAAACACAAAATATCTTTAAAACAGTAGCTTCATTTATAACTGTCGGTTTATTCCATGCGGTTTCCTTCTGTTTATACCTACATTTTGATGATCTCAACTTATCTCCGCGCAAAATGAAAATGGTAATTTGTAATTTACGGAAAGCGTAATAAAAAAATATATTTTCCGCACGAAATTTATGCCCGAATTAAAATATTCATGAAAAAAATATATATGTATATTATGTTACGTTGAGGTAACAAACATAATATTTTTTTGTGAATGAAAGTAATTGCGCCCTAATTACATTATAATTCAAATAAATTATAAAATATTCCTACATATTAGAGAAACATTTTATATTTTATTTACGAATTCCCGGACTTACGAACAAAATTCTAAAATCTCTAACTTGTTACAAGGAGATTTATAGTCAGAAAACAAATTAACTTGCAAAAGAAAAATTGATAATTTCTTTAATAAAATATATTATTTTTGGAAGATGTACTATATGTTGTCAACATTGAAAAGTATTTGTAATTAAGTATTTTGTTAATTTTAATCTATTTTTTCAAATGTATGCAGTTAGTAATAAGGAATTTAACATATATGAAAGGAAAAACTGTGATAAAATGTGGAAATATAAGTATATTTTGATTTTTTTTAATTTCCCCGACTTACGAACAAATTCGACTTACGAACAACCCTTTGGAACGGAACTAGTTCATAAATCGGGGGATACCTGTATTTACTTTTCACTAATTTATTTATTATGTACAAGTTTATATAATAGTAGTTTTTCTTAGGTTTTCGCTTTTGCAATAGTTTGGATTCAAATGAATTATTTTTTTATTTAATAGAAAAGTAGACATTATAAATTAAGAAATGAATCGATAATTTAATAATTAAAAATTTAAATTTCAATTATTTCCTCTAATATTTACACTTCTCAGAAAGTGTTTAAAAATCGAATTACAAAATGATTTTTTTTTTTAAATTAAATTATTCATTAAGACTACTAATTTCTCAGCATTACTTATAAAACAAAAACTAAATAATATATAAAATTATATGTATATTTTCATGTAAACAATAAAGTTTACTTTTGTATTTTAAATAATATTTAGGCAGTTATGTGTGGAAATAAAAAGTAATAAATCAATTTGAAATTTAAAATTGATGTACATATTTTGGTGAATGGAAAACAGTTTAGCGCTTAATCAATACCCAATTTCGCAGAATTTATAGAAGTTTCCTCTTGCAGCGACGTGAAAAGTTTGTAAATGCAAAGCTGAGGCCCTTTTGACCGCGGAATAATTCACTAAAACTATTGACCCAGTTACCATAAAATGTTTATTCAAATTATTCAATACACAGTTTTTTTTCCAAACATGTTTTACTTTTTTTTCGTAATTGATTTCAAATTCTCAAAAAATCCACTATTGTTTTCATGTAAAATTCTTCAATTCGCAAATCAAATTTAATTAAATTTTTCCCAATAAATAAAGTAATTGTTAGCAATATTTTTTTTATATTTTTTAATAAATTTCAATTATTTTTTTATTGCAAAGTTGCAAAAATCAAAATTGTATTTTCATGAAACATTTTTCAATTACAATTAATTAAATAAATTGGAATTTTTTTGCCAATAAAATCTTTTTATACGATTTTTAATAAATTTCAACCAATTATAATTTTATAAAATAAATTATTATTATATACAAAATAATTGCAAATAATATGCAATGAAATATTAAAATTGATATTAATTAATTATATTTACATTTCCGATGTGTTTCATTTATTAATTACATAATGGATAACTTTAATTGCCGAAAATAAACACGAAATAATATGTTTTACAACAAAAAAATATTAAAACAAAATAAATTTCAGCGATTTCTGTCGAATTCAATATTCGTGGTGACAGGATGAAGGATTGTTCGTTAAATCCTTACACAAATAAAAAAAAAGCGAAAACAAACCAGGAATGGATTCGAAATTGGCAAGGATATACTTATTTTTTCTTATTAACGCGGTAATTTATTATTTCCTGCGACTGCCGGGCGAGAAATCCCTCCGTTTCGGAAAATTTTCTTATTATTCGACCACTTGAGGCTCCATTTATCACAACTCATCCCGAGCGTGGTATTAAACAGGATGACACGAAAATCATTATCCTGGGATATTTTTTATTCTGTGTGTGCCTGCCTCAATTGTAGTTGCACTTGTTCGCATTTCCAACGAGTATCCTCGTTTTCCAGCATCCAACATCTGCATATGCAAATCTTCATCAACTTGTTCCAAATGAAAATACACTCACTGAACGAAAACTACATTGGTTTTAGATGAACCTCATTTATTCCTCAGAATATTGCTGCAATCATAGTAATAAGTACACTAAACGTTTTCACATTCCAATTTCTGACTGTATATTAGTACTCGAATCTCTATATAGAAAAATCCGTAACTTTCCACAATATTTTCATCAGAAAGAAATGAGCTTTTTTTTCGTAAAATCTTCAAATTTTCCTAGATTGAAACTAATTAATTTCTATTAATTAGAAATAAGTATATTTTCAACTATTTTTTGATGAAGCAAAATATTTTAATAAACTTTTTCCAACTAAATCTTGGTAAAATTTTCTATTATTAAAACTTAAAAAAAAAACAATTATTAGCAAGAAAATATTTTAAAATATATTTTTTAACTTGGTTTTGTGACTCAAAACTATAAAATTTATTTAGAACAATGAGCATTGTCGAATTTACTATAATCTTTATTAGTATTAATAATTTACTTCTGTTATAGCGAAAAATCAAAATCAAAATTTATTGTAATTTTCAATAATTTCTAATGAAAAATTCTTGGATAAAATAAATTTAAAGTAATTATATGAAAAATTAAATTGAGATCATTGTATTATCTTTTTTGGTTATTATAACTTTGCTAAAATAATTATAATTTTTAGTAGGTT